CTGATCAACGTGATAGGGTTCAATCTAGGCTATCTTACAATCCTGATGGTTCTGTGCATAACTGGGATTATAAACCTGAGGTAGCTAGAATCGACTCTGCAGATTGATTGCTAGGCTTGATTTGCCTTTGGGTATTGGTGATACTGAGATGCATTTGAGGAGTACATTCAACGTGCTCATAACCCTAGGTTTCAGTGGGGTGTCTAGATACAGATCCACCACTAGAGACCTTCGTGCTCTATTTATTGAACGTCGTAATATGCTTAAGAATCATGTTTTGTCCGGTGCATCATCTGTTGCTTTGACATCGACATATGGTGCTGAAATGCTAAGGAGGACTACATTAGTGTAGTTGCTCATTATGTGAGTGCAGATTGGGAGCTACAAAAAAAGGTAATTGGCCTCAGGTTGATTGAGGTGAAGCACACTGGTGAGAATATTTCTGAAAAAATTGCTTGTGTGGTTCAGGAATTTGGTATGATTGACAAGATTTATTCTGTTACCCTAGACAATGCTTCCTCCAATGCTAAGGCAATGGAGACTTTGACACCCATGTTTGCATGTTATTTAGGTTCTGATCCGACACCTACTTCATCAGATCCTAATAAGCGTAAATATAATCTTATGCATCAGCGTTGTGCTTGCCATATCATTAATTTAATTGTGAAATCTGGTTTAAAGAGATTTAAAACTTACACAGAGGATTTTAGAACTGCTATTAACTTCTTAAATTCATCTAATCACAGAATTGCCATGTTTAAGAATTATTGCAATGCTCAGGGTGTTAGACCTAGAAAGTTTGGTTTAGATATGGATGTGAGATGGAATGCTACATACCTTATGCTTAAACACTTGGTACCTTACAAGGAGGTTTTTTCTGTGTTCATTAATGCAAATTTTGGCTGCACATTGTTGACTCCAAGACATTGGCTCATTGCTGCCAAGATATTGGAGTTCCTAGAATTATTTTATGAATCAACATGTGTTCTATCTGGTGTTTACTATCCAACTAGTCCACTAATTCTGCACCATATGCTTGACATTGCTCATCATTTGCATGAAAGTGAAAAAGATCAAAATCTAATGGCTGTTGTCTATCCTATGAAGCTTAAATATCTTAAGTATTGGGAAAATATACCTCTGTTATATTCTATTGCTTTCATTCTTGATCCTAGAGCTAAGTTGAGAGGTTTGTTTAATGTGCTGGTAATACTTAAAGAGAACATTGGTGTTGATTACAATAAATATTATGCTGATGTTAAAACTGAAATTTACAAGTTATTTGCCAAGTATGACAGCAAGTATGGTTCTACAAGGTCTCAAAGGCCTGCACATCCTGCAGTCAACTCAGGTAAGAGGAAACAAGCATGGGGAAGGATCTTTGGCGGCCCTGGATCATCAGCTGTTGTTGGTCCTCCTCCCCCTGCCTCTGTCTCCACTTCAACTCAATCTGCTGCCTCTGTTGCTTGTGAGCTCACAACTTATCTGGATAGTGACAATGTCACTGCATATGAGGATGATTTTGATTTGCTTCTCTGGTGGCGTGACCACAAACTAACCTATCCTGTTCTTTCTATAATGGCAAGAGATATTATGGCTGTTCCTGTTTCTACTGTCTCTTCAGAATCATGTTTCAGTTTAACAGGAAGGATTATTGAGGAGCGGCGCCGAAGACTTCTGCCTGAACATGTGGAGATGCTTGCTTGCATCAAGGACTGGGAGCTGGGTGATAGAAGACTTCAACATTCTGCTGACAACCAAGAGCTGGCAGAGTCCTTTGAGAATCTGTATCTTGATGTTCCTGAAGATGGATCTGGGCCTCCTTCTGCTAGCACATCTGCAAGTGCTTCTGTTGCTTCTGCTTCTGCTGCTACCTGAGAGCTGAGAGTTGAGAGTTCAGTTTGAGAGAGTTGAGATTGAGACCTGTGAGGCTTGAGAGTTGAGACATGATGCTTGTATCTGGTATTTGTATTGTGAACATTTGAACATTATAAGAGCTGTGCTGCACTCTTTTTTCCTTTCTGGGGTTTCTCACAAGGGTGAGTTTTACCCAAAAAGGTTTTTAATGAGGCAGCATTGCACACAGCTCATTTCTATCTTTAAATCTCTGTCTTTTGTTGTGTTTGAGTCTTGCTGTTAAGTTGTTAAATAGTTAAGTTGTTTTTGTGATTCTGTGAATGACTTGTCAAAATTATGAATGTGCTGTTGATTAAGAATCTGATGAGTGGTTTTCTACAATTTGGGTTGTGGGCTGGCACGGCCCGCAAGTTTTGGCCGGGCTGTGCGGGCGGCACGGCCCGAATTTCAGCCCGAGGGGCCGTGCTTGGGCTGTCAACGGGGCACGAGGCCCGGTAAGGCACGGCACGGGGGGCACGGCGTGCCGTGCCGGCCCGACACCAGCGGGCCGTGCCTGGCCCGTGCCCGGGCCGTGCCGAGCCGGGCCGGCCCGATGGCCATATATATCTCCAGGTAGCCCGGCCTTACACCACCTGCTCCTATAAAACCAAAGGCACGTCCACCCCTTCCACATCACAAGCAACTACCAAATCTTCCACATTGTTTTAGGTGCCTCAGTACTTCTCATCAGCGTCGGGACTGCAGGGAGCCGATACGATGTAAGACCTGTCTACGGTTTGGCCACTCTTCTTTCCATTGCCCTTACTCTGCTAAAAAGAAGGTATGTCATATTCAGTCCCTGTCTCCATCTAAGAAAGAACTGTTTTCTTACAGCAATGCGGGTACGGAGGGAGGGCCAGGAAGGCTACGGAGATGTATGGACCCTCACCATACCCACCGCCTTTCGTCACTGCACAAATTACTCCAATCCACATCGACTTCCAAACCCCAGATAACCTCAATGACCTTTTTTGAAGGAATAGATGAAATCGGTGAGGTACATTTACCAAAAGTTGATGCTCGTACTTTCGACAACATTGCCCATGCTTCTGTGCATCCTATAACAGAAACACCAGGAAAGCTGCTCTGAGAGCTCAGCTAAATAGGGTCTAAATTGGTTAGGTGAGATAGAGTCGTGGATATCGATTCTTGTGTAGCTAGTCATTCAACACATGACGTTTACTGATCCGTCGTCATCTGGGCAGCATTATTGTATAAAGACGGAGTGGTCGATTCATGTGTGAAATATGGGCACTGCTTGGTCAAACTGAAGTGTCTACGATTGGGAAGTTCCTCGAACGTACATGGTCAGGTCAGATTAACGTACACGGTACACCATGTCTTGGCCGGGCCCCATTCGTTTTTGGAATCTTCATATATGATATTGATATGCGAGCTTTGCCGTGTGTTGACCCGTTGTAGTTGACTCGTCTTTTTTTCCTTTCTGCAACCCATATATTCGTTGAACTGTTCCGGCGCGCCTGAATGTAAACTCTTCTATCGTCCCGGATTTTCATCTCGATCTGCAGCGCCTTTTCTTCGCTGTTCACTCCCAAGTCCCACTCAACCTGCAGAAAGTGTAAATACAACTAGAAGCATGGCGGATGTAGAAGACTGGAGCCCTGTTGCCGATCCTTCTGGTTCTGGAGGATGCTGCAAGAAGGCTGTGCCTATACATCTACAACTCCTCCGGTCGGCAGCAGAAGTTCATCTCTGCTGGATATCTTGTACTTGTTCTATCTGCCTTCCTTCTCTCCTCTATTCAGCCTGATCTCTTGTTGATTTCAGACAGAGCTTATCAGCTATGGTACAATAGCAGGACCATCGGGCCTTATCAATCCAGAAACGAACCATCGAACACGCTGATTGATTACGGCATCGATGCATTCGTTTTGGGGGCCAATTTGGTGGCTATATCCACGTATTGCGTCTGGAAGCTTAGCTTTATCCTGCCTACGTTGAGCAATATGGTGGCTATACCCTTATCGCGCAGAAAGATCATTGCAACCATCTTACATGCTGCAGCCGTAACTATCCTACTGGCTGTGATCGTAGTTTCCTATACTTTGCTCCCTTACGTTGATGTTGCATGTCTAGTTCAGTTAGCAGCGTACAATGCCGTTGGTTGCCTATACATGTGCAACTCCTCTCGTCGGAAGGAGATGGTTATCTCCGCAGGATTTCTTGTACTTCTTCTGCTTTTCTTCCTCCTGTCCTCGCTAATTGCCAGCCACGGCCTTCGCATCAGCCTCATTTTCGCTGCCAATATCGTGGCTATATCCTCGTATTGCATCTGGAAACTCTATGATCTCTATCCTTTGCTCCGACGATGGCTTGATGCTCTTGATGGTGACGTGGTGCCAGAGCCACGCCCACCGAAACGGCAAGAAGAAGGAGAAGCAATGCTTCCGCTCCTCCATCAGACCCCATTTCACAAGGTGCTGCGGGAATTCTCGAGCGACGAAATCCAATCCATGACGCAGGACTTCGGAAGCATGATAGGGCGCGGCGGCTCCGCCCAGGTCTTCCGAGGGAACCTCGACGACGGCACGCCCGTCGCCATCAAGCGGATCAACATCGACAGGGGGCGCACCGTGGCCGGCGAGGAGGACTTCCGGAGAGAGCTCTCCATCATCGCCAACGTGCACCACCGCAGCCTGGTGCGCCTCCTCGGCTACTGCCTCCAGCGCGGGGGTGGCCTCTACCTGGTCTACCCCTTCTTCGAGAACGGCTCACTCGACAGGTGGATCTTCAACGGCAGCGACGAGCAGCGGCGGCAGCTCACGTGGCCCAAGCGGCTATGGATCGCCGTCGACGTGGCCCGGGCGCTCGCCTACCTCCACAACGAGTGCCACTGGCGGATCCTGCACCTCGACGTCAAGCCGGGCAACATCCTCCTCGACGGCGACCTCCGCGCGCACGTCTCCGACTTCGGCATCTCCCTCTCCATCACCCGGGGCCTGAACAGCGTCGTCCACACGGAGCACCTCAAGGGTACCTTCGGGTACATGGCGCCGGAGATGCTCTACAACGCGGTGTCCGACAAGTCCGACGTGTTCAGCTACGGCATGACGCTCCTCGAGCTCGTTGGTGGCCGCCGGAACATGTATCCCTCGTTGGAGACGCCAGACTTCACGCGCGACTACTTCCCGTACATCGTGAGGGAGAAGGTGGCGCGAGGCGAGGTCTTCGAGGCCGTGGACGCCGCCATGGCGCCCGTGGACGACGACGAGGAGGCGGTGAAGGCGGTGCTCAAGGTGGCGCTCTGTTGCATCCAGAACCAGCGGGAGATGAGGCCCACCATTCAGACTGTTGTGGATATGCTTGAAGGCCGGGTCGCCGTTGATCTCCCGCCGGAGAACCGCCATCATCTGCTCTGAATTTTATCGACTTGGGAGTTGGGAGTACTTTTGACCCCTTGTCAACTTATGTTTTGTAACTATGCGCACAATTGAAGGGAAAAAAATCATTGAGAATGATCACTTGTTAACTCATGTTATGTAACTATACGAAAAATTTACCCACACAAGCCTGCCCTGCTCCTCGAGCGGAACCTCCGTCCACATCGCCCGGAATTCCTGCCTCCGTAGGATCTACCATTTGATGGATGAGATTTGCTGAATCAGATTTTACAGGGATCGGCTTCTTCAGCTTTTACTTGCCACCTGCAGCTTTTCAGCTACTTCTATTTATCTTGCTGGCCTCCTAATGAGAATTCAGGAAAACAGAATAAATACTCAGCTCCTGATTCTCCTTCCCGACCCTTCTCAACTAAATCTCGACTACTCCCGTACAGGCTGCCTCATCGCTTCCTCTCTCTTGCTCCCGTCTCTCTCCTCCCCCGACGCGGGCGGAGCGCCGGCGCTCGCGGCACGCGGTGCAGCGGCCAGCCCCGCTCACGGAGCGGCGCGGGTCGGCCTCACCGGTGGCCGCGGCGGCGGATCCCCGTGCGCTGCCTCCTCCTGGCGGTTTGTAGCCACTCCACGAAACCCTAGGTGCCTCCTCCGGCGGTTGCGGCGAGGCTCACGGCTGTATCTCACCGAGGCCGTGCTCATTGGCTTCCCCAGTGCTGCCTCCTCCCACTGGTAAGAAACCCTACCTGCCTCTTCGGCGGCGGCTCCGAAGCTCGTGACAGCAGGCAGCAGCAGCCACGTGCGGGGGCTGGCCTTTTGGGATGCCCCTGTTCCAGGGATTTCTTTGCTATTTCTTTTTAAAATTTTGGGCGAATCGATGTATAGTATATGGAGGCCAATCCATTCCCTTGGCAGGAGATGTTTCCAAGAGGCTGATGTTCAATCTATGACATATCGATAGGACCTAGACAAGGCCGCGATGCTCCTCCGGCAGAGGCACCGTCCACGTTGGTGAAATTGTTTTCTACCGTGCGATCGCAGCCTGCAGGGTCATGATTTCGTTAATCGGCTTTAGCTTTTAATTTACCTCTTTGTTTCCAGCTTCTCATTAGGAGGCCAGCAAGATAAATAGAAGTAGCTGAATGTATAGTATATGGAGGCCAATCCATTCCCTTGGCAGGAGATGTTTCCAAGAGGCTGATGTTCAATCTATGACATATCGATAGGACCTAGACAAGGCCACGATGCTCCTCCGGCAGAGGCACCATCCACGTCGGTGAAATTGTTTTCTACCGTGCGATCGCAGCCTGCAGGGTCATGATTTCGTTAATCGGCTTTAGCTTTAAATTAACCTCTTTGTTTCCAGCTTCTTATCACGGGTTGGTAAGAATCCATTACCTTATGATGTCCTCGGGCTCCATTGTGAAGTGCAGCGGTTTCTCCCCAATCGGGTTTCTTCCCTTTAGTTTTCTGCTGTCCTGGACCTGTAGGCTCATTCCTCGTCCTGGTCGGCCCGACGACCTGCGGCGCTCCGGCCCGCTCCTTTGTTGCCGCCGTCCACGCCAAAGGTCTTCTTCTTCGTCTTTGTTCTTGCTAGGGTTTCGCGTCGCGCCTCCTGTCTGCGCCGGCGGAGGTCTTCTTCTTCGTCTTTGTTCTTCCTAGGGTTTCGCGTCGTACCTCCTGTCTGCGCCGGTCTTCCTGCTCGCGTTCCTCCTACGGGTGCGTCGCTCGTGGCGGATTCGGGGGAGGAGGGGGGGAAGGAGGGGTTGGAAAGGGGGGAAAAGTGGACGCTCTCAGGGACGACGCCGCTGTTTGCTCCTACCTAGGCTGCTACGCTGGTCTTGCCTAATTTCGTGCGTAGGTTCTCGCCTCTGTCACACTCGATCCCCTCTGGCCTAATGCGGGTTGTTTATATCTGTTCTGCTATGTTTGCTTATAGATATATCTGTTGCTTTCCTTGGTTCTGATGGCTTGGTCTCAAAATTGTTTGACGCAGGTTCGCATCGTTGTTGTTCAAAGGTGTCGTTGGCCGAACATTGCTGCGATTGTTGCTCCTGGTGCTCAATTGGATATCTTCCTAACTGAGATACGCTCTTATTGGACTATCTTCGCTTCCAGGTACTAGATGCTTTGTTTAGTATATATGTTGCTTTGTTTTCTCATTGTTTGTGCTATGTTATGAAACTGATATTCCTTTTCTCTTCTTTGCCGTTTGCAAAATCAGTCAAAGGACGCGTACGGTTCTGGGAACTGGTCCAAGATCGGCTGTTGTCTTTTATTTGAAAAAAAAGGGTCTTGCAAACTGATTTTAAAATTAACCTCTGGTTTTAAACGGCCCTATATATTTGTGCCTTCCAGACAGAGGCGGCAACACAAAAAAATTGCCCACATTTGGACTGCTACTTTCGCTCGGTGTGGTAGATATGTTTTTGATCAATTTGTCCTACGTAGCTATGTTGCAAGAGGTTGCTCACCGGTGCTGCCTACCTTATGTATCCTATATACATGAGGTGGTACAGGATGGGAAAGATATATACGGTATAGAGGTTGAATTGACCCCCGGTATGGTCCAGGGAGCCTCAACAACACTCTTTTTCTGGGCTGAGCCTGCTGTGGATCCTGCCGTGGCCTACAAAGTAGCAGCATTGCAGGCTCTTGTAGTTCTACAGGGGATATATGGATTTGTTCTTATTGATTATAGTGTCCATGGGCTTCAATTATATAGGGATCTAGCTCGCCATCTATTCTGCGTTGCAAATAGAGGAGCTCAGCTTGCTAGGTTGGTCGTTGCAGCGACCAGCAACGATATTAGATCGTTGTCGGCTGTTACAGCGTTCGCGCAACAGGTGTTAGATGAACTCATCGTGCTGTCGCGCGATTGAGTGTCAGCATGTTTGTAGGTTTACAATTTCTTTTCGGCTTTATGTATTTTTTCCTCCATCCATTGTACGCATCGCACAATTAATTATGAAAATGTTACATGAGGTGACTTCAGTTATGCCTAAATCAGCATCGGTCTGTTTATACACCCATATTTTACTTCTCATCTTCATGTAATTATTTTTGGTTATTTCTGCACTATACACTTCGATATCAGTTTTCGTCTTCATATAGTCGTTTTTGCTCTTATCGTGCTTCTACCACTCTTACTGCATGAATCCACCCTGCCTATACATCTAGATTTGTGCATGTGCCTGCACTTGCCTTTTCATATATTGATGTTTTGCGTTCTCCATTCCTCATGCCTGTCGTATTCCCTACATTACGCTCTTATACAACCAACTAGAACAGAGCCAAAATGCACGTCACGGAATCCATTATGCCAGCTCTCTGGTACTATCAGCTTCTCTGTGTGCTGTTTTTTCTAGATTATCCAGTGCATGTTAACAGACTCATGCGTATCGTACTCGGTACATTATACTGTTATAGAATCAGGTACAACACAAACAAAAGGTGCATCAAAGAATGTGTTATAGCAGCTCTCTGTTACTATCAGATTGTTTGTGCGCTGTTATTCTGGGTTATCCAGTGTATGTTAACGGTCCATAAACACCACATGATATTTTTTCCAAGTGTTTTTCCCCCAAAAAAATGGTTTCATTGTTTTATGTCCATGGTAAGATGCACAGCCTTCGTCGTGTATGGAATACCAAACTGGTATGGCTGCTCAGCAACCACGTATGTAAACTGTGCTCTATTTTGCTTACATATTTAGGTTTTTCAGTGACCGCTGCTATATTCAGTGGCCTCACTATTTTGCTGTATTACGATATCTAACAGTGCCTACCTATATTACTCAGTGGATGCTTCGGTGGATATAGGCACCTCTGCTGCTGCCACAGCGAGGTCCCACCGTGCAAGACCACGTATGTAGCCTACTGTGTATACTCCCATATGAGGCAAGAATATTGCATGAATCTTCTTCTTATCTATTCTGTCCTTCGACCAGGAAATAACTCCTCATGTCGCATTCTGAGTCCTGATCCAGCGCAATGTAGACAGAACAGGAGAAAGCTCCTAAACCAGCATCGTCGTGTTTGGGGAGGTACTTCAGCAGATTGTATAGCAAATGATGTCTTCATGCCTTTGGCCTACAATATGGTTCAATCCTATACCCTGTGTACAGGTGCAGCTTCAGCATATAGTGCTAACTTAGAGTGTGCTCAGTTCGATGATGATTTCGTAGAAGCCCTTAAAGGTAAAGCCTGTACCTTCGTATGCTGCATCTATCTTTTCCATCATCAACAGGCCTACCTCCGGGTATCTACCTCATCCATGTTTAACTCTCTCTTAAATGTGCATAAACCAGTTTCTTATCCTGGGAGATCATACCATGGACCACCTGCACAGCAGTGTTCTAACTGCCATGCCGTTTTCTGGAATGCTGAAAGTGTTGGCAAAGAAGCACGCACCTCTTCTGGATCACTTATTTACAACAAGTGCTGCAAAGGAGGCAGAGTTGTTATTCCTCCCTTCCTACCTAGGCCTAAACCCTTAGCGTCTTTGGCAAGATTTGATGGAGAATCGGTCTCTACCAAGTTTATGAAGAATATAAGACGCTACAATTGTCTTCTTGCATTCACCTCTATGGGAGCCAATATAGATCAAACCATGAATGATGGCAGGGGTCCTCCGGTTTTTAAAATTTGTGGACAGATTCATCACCGCATCGGCTCTTTGATACCTCCACATGGTCGCCCTCCAAAATTTATTCAGCTCTATGTGTATGATACATCAGCCGAGGTTGAGAACAGAATTGCCTCATTAGACCATGAAGACACAACAGCATCAGATCTAGATCCTACTCTTGTACAGTCTTTGGTTAGTATGTTGGATGAACATAATTTGTTTGCAGAGTAGTTTAGAATGGCCAGGGATAGATTGGCAGACAATGAGGCTGAAGATTTTGTCATTCGCATTGTTGGTCCAAAAGCCAGAGATCCGCCTCAGTACAGTTTACCAACTACAGATCAATTGGCCATGCTTGTAGTTGGTGATTTTAGCTGTGAAGAATTTGAGTGGGACAT